CGGAGGCAAAATGAGTAAGAACGCTCATTTGTACATCATTCTAGACAGAAATAAATGGCCTTTTTAGAAAGTGAACCATGGATGGGGAAATGTTGACAGTTTTGTGACAATAGATGGCGGTACTGCCACCTGACCTAGGATCAGCTAAACAAAGGACAGGGCATCGTAGGTTAGACAAGGAAAGATCTAGTTTTGTTACTGGACCCCAAATTTTAAATGCCGGCTTTGTGTGTGACTTGTGGAAAAGTATTTTCAACTGATACTAATCGTGATCGACATGAACAATTATGGTATCAATTGTTTTTATGAAAGTAATATGTTTAAATGTTTGCAAAGATACGATATTTTATTTAAAAATTGCAACACACTGACCCAAACTAACCCAAAAAAAATGGAAAAAACACTTACCAACCCACCAAGAAAAGTTACTAACGCAAACAAACTCAACCATTCGCATCTTAACCGGAGGAAAAACAAAGTTGACCGCAACGCTGCTGGACTGTTGGCAACTGCGCGCCGCTGGTTTATCTGTCCACTGGGGCCATCTAGGGACTGGAATTTTTCCGGCAATTTCGGGGCTTTGGGGCTGGAGCCCTGGGGACCAAGGGGCGCTTGGGCGGTTGTTAGGGCCAAATGCTCCATGGGAACTGCCTAGAATTGAATAAAACGGGATTAAAGCGGGTTGCGGCAGCGCCACCTCTAGGCAGCCAGTGCGTAGCAGATTGACAGCCCTGACAGCCTTCACAAGTCAATGTCGCGTTCGGTTTTGCGCTATTTGTGACCAAAGTTTGTTAGTGTGGTTTTGCTTGGGAATTTTGTCGGGCTCCAGGTAGATTCAGCGGTAAGTAGAGGCTCGAGAGCCCCAACCGGCAGGCGTTACAAGAGTGTACAGGAGTATAGCGTTGTTGTTGCAGATTTGAGGTCCAGGTTATGCCTGCATCCTGCTGATTATCGGCAAGCGCTAGACCCGTGAGACTGTGTTTGAGAGAATGACGACTGTACCGCTTGGCCAGCAGGCCGCCGCCGCCCTGCTGGACTTCAACCAAAAGCTGGACATCGGCCTGCTGGACAGCGTGGTCGTGAGCATGTATGTGGGCAACGGCGAGACGCAGCGCATCGCCCAAGAGGTGCTCACCACACTGAAGGAGCACCCGGACGCTTGGACGCGCGTGGACACCATTCTGGAGTTCTCCAGCAACCAGCAGACGAAATACTTTGCCCTGCAGATCTTGGAGCAGGTGATCAAGACGCGCTGGAAAATCCTGCCGAAGAACCAGTGCGAGGGCATCAAGAAGTACATCGTGTCGCTGATCATCAAGACCAGCTCGGATGCGGAATCGCTCGAGGCGAATCGCACCTATTTGAACAAGCTGAACATGATCCTGGTGCAGGTGCTGAAGCGCGAGTGGCCCAAGAACTGGGAGAGCTTCATTCCGGACATCGTGGGCGCGAGCAAGACGAACGAGAGCCTGTGCCAGAACAACATGATCATCCTGAAGCTGCTCAGCGAGGAGCTGTTCGATTTCAGCGCCGGCCAGATCACGCAGACCAAGGCGAAGCACCTGAAGGACACGATGTGCTCGGAGTTCTCCGGCATCTTCCATCTGTGCCAGTTCGTGCTGGAGAACTCGCAGAACCCGCCGCTGGTCAACTCCACGCTGGAGACGCTGCTGCGCTTCCTCAACTGGATCCCGCTGGGGTACATCTTCGAGACGAAGCTGATCAGCACGTTGACGTTCAAGTTCCTGCCAGTGCCGATGTTCCGCAACGTGACCCTCAAGTGCCTGACGGAGATCGCGGGCGTCAGCGCCACCAACTACGAGGACATGTTCCTGGCCCTGTTCACGCAGACGATGGGCCAGCTGGAGGGCATGCTGCCCCTCAAAACCGACATCAAGTCGGCGTACGCCTGCGGCCAGGACCAGGAGCAGAACTTCATCCAGAACCTGGCGCTCTTCCTGTGCACGTTCCTCAAGGAGCACGGCATCCTGGCCGAGCACCAGACGCCCGTGCTGGTGAACGCGCTCTGCTACCTGGTGCTCATCTCCGAGGTGGAGGAGGTGGAGATCTTCAAGATCTGCATCGAGTACTGGAACAGTCTGGCGTCCGAACTCTACCGGGACGCCGAGCTGCACCACGTGACCAGCGGCCCGATCTTCTACCCGAACAATCGGCGCAACATCTACCAGGAGGTGCTGGACAAGGTGCGCTTCATCATGATCTCCCGCATGGCCAAGCCCGAGGAGGTGCTGGTGGTGGAGAACGACAACGGGGAGGTGGTGCGCGAGTTTATGAAGGACACCGACTCGATCAACCTGTACAAGAACATGCGGGAGACGCTCGTCTACCTCACCCACTTGGACTATGCGAACACCGAGCGCATCATGACGTCGAAGCTGCAGCACCAAGTCGACGGGACCGAGTGGTCGTGGAAGAACCTGAACACGCTCTGCTGGGCGATTGGCAGCATTTCGGGCGCGATGCACGAGGAGGACGAGAAGCGGTTCCTGGTCACCGTCATCAAGGACCTGCTGCTGCTCTGCGAGCACAAGCGCGGCAAGGACAACAAGGCCATCATTGCCTCCAATATTATGTACGTGGTCGGGCAGTACCCGCGCTTCCTGCGCGCCCACTGGAAGTTCCTCAAGACGGTGGTGAACAAGCTGTTCGAGTTCATGCACGAGACGCACGACGGCGTCCAGGACATGGCGTGCGACACCTTCATCAAGATTGCGATGAAGTGTCGGCGCCACTTTGTCACCACGCAGATCGGCGAGTCCTGCCCCTTCATCGAGGACATCCTGTCCTCCATCTCGACCATCATCTGCGACCTGCAGCAGCAGCAGGTGCACACGTTCTACGAGGCCGTGGGCTACATGATCAGTGCGCAAGTCGACCAGCCCACGCAGGAGGCTCTCATCGAGAAGTACATGCAGCTGCCCAATCAGGTACCCTCCTCCCTTTGTTCTCTCCCTGCTCGCTTACCTTTGGTGTCCGGAAAATCGACGTTTTCACTCACACTGACACTCACTCGCCGACACGTCTCCGGTGTCAACAACTCGCTCATTTGTTTCACGTCTTTTGTTTGCACGCATGCTCCAATAATGCCATGGTTCTGTTTGTGTAGGTGTGGGACGATATCATTAGCCAGGCCAGTAAAAACGTGGACATTTTGAAGGAGATCGAGGTGGTCAAGCAGCTCGCCAGCATTCTGAAGACGAATGTGCGAGCGTGCAAGGCGCTCAATCACGCCTACGTGCTTCAACTGGGCCGCATCTACCTCGACAT